CAGAAAATGTGAAGCTTAAATTTGATATAGAAATGGCCCAAGAAGATTTTGAGGAACACATGATAAAATATAATGCATACTATGTGAAAATAAAAGCACATAAAGATAGTTTGGGGGAGGTAGAAAGCAAATGGTCATTTATGACTGAACTCCATGAAAAACAAGATCTTGTTAAAAAACTAAAAACAATGAAAGAGGAACTTGTGCAAGATCTCCAAAATCCAGGAGGGAACCGAATAACACAAGTACAGGTTTGAATTATTACTTAGCAAAATTTTTCTATTACTCCTTTTTTGTAAATACATATATTAAATGATAAATTCATCAAGTTAATAAAAATACCCATAGCTATTCTACTACATTCAGAAACTATTTTAACAATTTTTAAAAACTTGGATAAGTTCATGTATTATATAACACTATCTCAAATGTGCAAATGCATTAAGGAAACATCCACAAATCCCCTGTGGATTTATGAAAATATATGGTCAAACAAAATCACAGTGAACAATTAATTCATTTGTTGCAAAAAGTGTAATTCACAAGAAGGTTGAAGCCTTAGCTTCTATGCTAATGGATCCAGACCAATTCAAATCAATTTAGTATGCTTAATGCTGTTATGCAAACAATATGAATTAATAATTACACCTTAAGATCTATTTCTCTATGTTTTGAAGACAGTAGAAGATACAAACTTAAAATATAGATCATTTCTTGCTAGAGAATTAAAAAGTATCCTTTACACTGTTGTTGGGCAAGTGCCACCATAACTATCATTTTCTTTTATGTCTTATTTTCATTTGGTTTTTAGTTATATGTTTTCAAATCTAAGGTAAGTTTGTTTGAATAACAGTTCTTTACTCTGTACACGCATAGAAATAATATCCTAGTCCTATTTGTCAAAATTAAATTTTGATTTGGCTAGTTTTCTTAAATTACAGAAACACTGAAAATCTTTGAATTTATATTGACTATTCCTTTTTTGACTTGTATATTTCAAATTTTATAAACATACAGGAAGACATTACCAAGTTAAAGGATAAAATTATAACTGTAAAAGAATCTATCATTGAAAAAACTTGTTTTCTTGAGGAAGAAAAAAAGACACATGAAAAACTAAGAAAAGAAATAGAGGTAAGTCTTAATAATCTAGATTTTGTTGTTTTATGAGACCATTTCTGAAGTTTAATATTGCTGTAGTTTACTCTCAGTACTCAAAACAGCTAAAGAACAAGAAAGAACCACAAAGTTTAATAGATAAATACAAGTCATTAATAGATAAGCAGAGATAACATTCTCATTCAAAGATGTTCAAATATGTGAATGTATTCAAACAATACAATCACTGCTATTTAAATCTAGCATAGAATTTTTCTAGCTTTCATCT